AATGCCACGGTAATTATAAAATCCAAAAAATATTTCTTCAATTGTGTAACTTTGTAACAAGACTTCCATAATCTGGTGTCCATGGCCATAAAATTCTGTTGCTGCTTTTCCAAATTACTCTCAAAACAGCTTTTAAGAAGATTAAACAAATTCAATACATAATATAAGAACATAGAATCTGAAATATACAAATGCTCCATAATGCAGCCACATTTGAAACTAACAAAGTCATTGCAAATTAGTTTATCTCAATATATAAAATTTAATTTATTTTACAAATACTTAATTGGTGCAGTCTCACATAACAAATCCAAAATCACTAAGATAGTGTATTATACATGCGGCAAATGAATATATCTTATAGTATATTAATATAGGAAGAAAAAAAGGCAGTGTATACATTAATGAATGTCCTTGTGTATACAGAAAAGTATAAACAGGCATAGTGAATGGTGTTTGTGTATATATTTCTTCTTATTTTTCGTATTTTATATCCTTAATTTATTTGATCAGTCAGTTATTTATTAGATTTTTATCCCGCCTTTATTACTTTATTCTTACTCTTTTTGTCCCTTTTTATATTGTTGCTTACACTGAAAGCAACGGTATGATGGGGATAACTATATATGCTTCATTTCTTCCTGTTTTTCTTTCTTGGGCCTACATCAGGGATCTTCAAACTTGGCCCTTTTATGACTTGTGGACTTCAACTCCCAGAATTCCTCAGCCAGGCATGCTGGCTGAGGAATTCTGGGAGTTGAAGTTCACAAGTCATAAAAGGGCCAAGTTGAAGATCCCTGACCTACATCAATGAATATCAATGAAGTTTCACCTGGTGCTTTGGTACAGTAATACCTGATAAATAAGGTATTTTACTTTGAAACTCCAGGGTAAAATGTTCATCCTTATAGTTTTTGGCAATAGTAACTCAGAAACTACAATATTTGATGAAAAACCAATTTTTTTCAGTCTTTGTTATTACAGAGATCTGACAACCTGACTCTTCTTGAATTTTGCGATAAAGCTCCATTCTCCAGAATATTAGCAAGTTATTTCCTAATAACATTTACGTAGGTGTGCAGAATTGGCATAATGATCTGACAACAGAGAGGAAGCTGCCTTTGTTTAAAGCAACAAAAATGGGGAGAGACATTTACATGCATTGTACATTATGACCCTAAATTTGGCCGGGTTTTTTTTTTCTTATAGACTAAATCCTAGTTGTGTAATCAGAAAATTCAAATATTATAATAATAATTCTCCTGCAGTACATTTTTAAAATTTAAAAAATTATTGCAGAAACATTTTTCCAGCAGTATATAATAGTACCCATTTGCCATATCGTGGCTAGAAATCCCTTATTCTTGGGACCCAGGATCAATTCTGTACATCACTAAGCAGGAGTCGGAAAGATTTTTACCTAGCCCTGTGCCCTCATTCAGAGTTGACAGTTCTCAGCCAAAATTCTGATTCAGCGTCCAGAAACTTCTTGTATCTCTATGGTCTTCCCTATTTTTTATCTTTATCTATTAGTTTAATAACTTAGTTAATTGTGTAGCACAGTTTGTAACCTTAGGCAAAGGAAGTTTATAAAATGTTATTTAGACTCAGACAGCAAATTATGCACACGGAACACTAACCACTGTTAGCTCCAAATCTGCTGGGCATTGCTGGCTGTCTGCTTAGAATTGATGGCCTGAAGCAATTAGAGCGATTTGGTTTTTACTAAATATACAGTGTGAGCACCTTGGCTAAATCTAAGCTGAATCATGTAGCCATTGCCAGATCATGGCAAACAACCCATTGGTCCTACAGATCATCTGGATATCAATTCTAATGAAAACGTGTCTAGTAATTATAGGAATGTTTCAATATTTTATATCAACATAAAATTAGAGTTGCTCTCTCAAACATGCAGGTATTCTCTTACTCCCTTTGTTCTCCAAGACATCCACTGTAAAAAGCTATTTGCTATCTCTGTGGCAGGTAAACTTTGCTTTTCTTATTAGTCTAATAGAAAATATCAGAATCCTGTAATCTTCCTGTAAACCCATAATCAAAATTAGATGCAGCCTATTTCAGTGGATTAGAATGTAGGGTGCTGATTTTTCTGAGAGCAGAGAACTAAACAAGGCTGCTCTAATGTACGTTCTGTTTATTAAATTATATTTATTCTCCTATACTTGTTCAGCATAAATACATGCAGAGTTGTCTTTTGTTTGGTAAATATAATTATTTTTGCACAGAGTACTTTAGGAAGGGATACTGTGTGCAGGGTTCTCTTTTTCCTTTTCTCTCTCTCCACTAGAAGGAAAAAAAAAACAATACTTAAGGCTATCCTCTATGGATTTTCTTCACTCAGAAGAGAAACTCCAGAATGCATGAAATGCCGGCGCCTTCTGCCTGATCCATATTCATAACCTTTCCTTTACTGTGACTGATTTATGCCCCTGTGCGCCCCCAGGGTGTTCAGTCTAAAATAAAGGAAGGCCAAATAGAAGCCAAGTACTTTTTTTCCACAGAAGGGAGAAAAAAGAGCAGTCAAGCTGTTCAAGAAAGAGAAACTCGTTTCTATAGGAAGGTTTGGTTCTATAGGTTACACAACCAGAAAATATACTTGCCAAAAGAGAGAAGCAATGATTTGCTTCGAGTGAAGCCTCCAGTGGCTGCATATTGATTCAGCAGTTCTATAGAGGCAGCGGCCGTTGCTTTCATTATTTATCTAGTGCCATAAGTGCACAGCAATTGGGATTGCCAGATGTCCCTATTTTGATAGTCCTGGAAGTCTGTTTGGTATAATGAATAGAGCGTCAATCGTTAACCTGGGAAACCTGGGTTTCAAAGTGGTTGGCATAGTCATTTCCACCCAATCTTTATTATAAGAGTGTTGTTAGGACAGATATACCACATATATAGTAGGAGGGAGGGAGAGAGAGAGAGAAAGAGAGGGAGAGAGAGAGAGAGAGAGGGAGAGGGAGAGAGAGAGAGAGCTATTTACCTGATAGATAAGGAGCATGGAGCTGTGAGGTTGATTAGTGCCTTGAAGGTCCTCCCACTCTTTTTCAACTTTCAATTTTAATTATTTTATTCCTGTTTTAATGGCTTAATAATATATTATTTAGATAGGATTGTGTGCTTTTTATGTTTTCATTGTACATTGCCCAGAGTTGCCCTGTGAGGGGGATGGGTGGTTTTCAAATTTGATATAAAAATAAATAAATTATTTGTTTTTTAAATCAAAGTTAAGCTGACCACAATAACTAGCTTTTAATTTGTTTAGTGATGAACTTTAATTCCTTTATCGTTGCAAAATTAATTGGGGATGAAAGTATCTTTGTAAAACCTTTTTTCCTTAATTCATAGTGCATGGCTCTAGGAGCAAGGTGTTAGAAAGACTGCATTCTCTTCCTTTTCCAAAATTAACTTTGGATATTAAGGCTCCAGTCCCACAGCTCTTCATAGGCACTTTTTCTTCACTTGGGCAAAGCTGCACATGAGGTGCCTGCATTGGGCTGGGAAGTGAAGGTGGGGGGGGGGCAGTCAGTCAAATGAGTACATGGAGTGAGAGAAGGGCTCAAGTTAACCCAACAATGCTACCAGAATTCCACTATGCCCACATCTTGATCTGACAGCCTCAGACTGGATGTCAGCACAATTCAAACTTACACAAACTCTTCTAAGTGTTTCTCTTGGCCTTTGAAAGCTGCCTTGAGTTGTGTTGTGGGTTTTTAATCCTCCTTTCTTTTCAAAGTGTTCTACTATGTAACTCCGGGCTACAAACAAATGGCCATAGAAATTTCTTTGACCGTGTCAGCAGAGTGGATGGGATGGTGGTGGGCTGTTCGGCTTGGCCCTAATTCCAGAAACCGAGCTGGCCAGCAGAGAATGCTTTGCAAACATTTACCAGCAAAAAAGCAGCCCTCTGCTTGTCATGGAAACTTAACCCGGGTGATGTTGCAAGCTTTCTGCCCAGAAGTTATTTTTTTTTGTTTTGTTTTGTTTTGTTTTCAAGCTGACCAGGAAGAGGGGATCTCTGCTCTGTCGAGGTTTTGGCAAAGAGCTCCTAACAGCTGAAAGTAGCCCTCTTGTCTCCCGTCACAAGAGCAGCTCCTGCTGAGCAAGGCTCATTAAATATTCACTTCCAGCTGCAAGCAGCTCATTAAGGCAGCACCAAGCAGTGACGCTGCTGCTGGAAAACCGTGTCTTGCTGAGCATCACCATGCAGAGGCTCAGTGGAGCCCTGGATGCTCTCCTTCTCAGTGCCTTCTCCATGATGACCAGCTTATGCTCACTGCTTTGCATTAAGTACAGGTAAAAGACAGCAGCGAAACACCTTGGTCGGATGGGCTCCTTCGTTCAGGTTTGGGCTCTTTGGTGGGTGTGGTGAGTTGCGGCATCGGAGTTGCCCTCAGAATCATTTTCAGGGCTGGGGGAACCTTGCTTATAAGCAAAGTTGGGTTTGCTGAGCATGGTCTCGTTTCCTAGGAAGTACAGCATAGAGGAAGAGGACGAGCTCCGTGAGAAATGAGGTGAAGTTTTGTGTTAGGTTTTAGAAAGTTGGCAACTTTCTGAAGGACTGAAGATCCTCAGTATCAGTTTTAGATGCTCTCTATTCTCTCACTGATACTAAGTTGGAAGGTTTCCCACAGGGCTGCAGTTGTCCCTCTTAATTCCCTTTTTGAGGAGCTATTGCAGAGCTTGGAAATTTATTTTAAGGACAACCTGAACACACCTCACCCTCAGAGCTGCTAAACTTCTTGGACTACCTATTTTAATAATAGATAAGACCCTGTGCTCCTAAATTAATTAACAGTTCTTTCGCAGTGGAGATTCCTGGCATCATTTTTTTTTTCTTTAAATAACCAACAATAACAACAACCAGCATTAGGGGAAAAGGCAATTTGAAGTGGACTTATTCAACTGGCCTGCTGAACTGTCTGATTGTAGAAAAATACCCCTAAACCCTGAAGGTAGTGATGCTATTTCTCTTCCTTTTGCAGAAAATGTTTCCAGACAGCTCATTTCTACGTAGAAGACAGCAGTTCTCCTCGGGTGGTACCAAACGAAACCGTCCCCATTATTCCCATCCCAGGTAAGAAAGGCCTTGCCTCATTCATTTATGCCTTGGTTTGATCATAGATGCAACCATTTGAATTTGCTTATACTGGTTTGGGTATAATTAAAATCAGCTGCTCTTCACAGTCACTGATTTCTTTGTATGGTTTAAGCCTATTGTGATTTTTGTACAGTACACCTATTCCTGTACAGTAGTTGGTTTAAATAGAGTAAAAGGCTTTGTATGGAGTTTTAACTTTTTTCTTCTTTGGATGAAACTCTCTTGATGATTTCACAAAGGAAACCTCTGTACATCATGCAGAATTTGTCTTTTCTGACTCCAACATCTTGTCCTGAATGAGTCTTTAGTCTGCCTATCTTTTCTACTGAAGTTCAAAATCTTCACCTTAATGCCCAATAAGGGTAAATGGGCAGCAGCATCCTGTGTATTTATGCTCAGAAGAAAGCCTTGGTCAATGCAGTGCCAGTTCTTCCATCTCAATATATATAAAGATTTTGACACAAACAGTATTCTGATTTAGGAAACACAAGCTCTTGGATATATATTTCTGTTTGCTATGATACTGCCATACAGGTAGTCATCAGCTCCCAGCATTTTAATTTAGTTCCAGCTGAAAAAAAAATGAGTCAGTAAACATGTTTTTATATAACAAATGAAGTAGCTTTATTTGGGGTGAGCAGAATTACAGCCGTTCAATATTGTAAATCTTTTTGGATTTTGACAGTTTTAGCTCAATGCTAAGAATATACTTAGGAATATTCTACTTGAGCATAAACAGATTTGGCTGTAATTTTTACTTAGGAATTATTTGCATGTTTTATCTTTTCACAGCTTGTTCATTCTTTTATTGTTGATGGCTTAAAATAATTCTGTATACAATGTTTTTTTGTGTGAATATGAGTTGAATTCTGCTGATGGGAAGGTTTGATTATTGCTGTATACTGTTTTTAATTCCTTTAAAAATGAAGCCTAATGTATATTTCAAAGCGATTATGGAAAGTCATAGTTTTTCTCTAACAGGTTGTAAAGGGTATTGTAATAAGATTATGTTACTGTTTTTTTTTTCTTTTTGAATATAATGTACTATATTGGGTAAAGAACTCTGGTGTGAGTTTTGCAGTTACTAGATTAATTGATCAATAGTGTTCAGAGATAATAAAAAAATGAAAAGTTGTTATTAGTTCATCCAGCCCAGATCCAACATGGTGGCCAGGAATTATGGGAGCTGAAATCCAACACATCTAAAGAACATCAAGTTGGGAAAAGGGTGATCCACTCCCAAGTTACAAACGAAAACTGTGAAAACTCTGTGAAAACCCCCTTTGACTCTTTTGATAAATCTTTAAAAATAATTACAATCCAATTATGTCATATAAAGATAAACAAATTCAAAGTTTGTATGAATTGATGACTTCTATTAGCATTTCAGATTATGAAAGTTTTATAATACTGATGATTGGAATATATTCTCTTTAAAATGGTCACCTGAGCATATATGCATGGAGGAGTCACTTGGGATTTTGTCACTGAAAGTTGATCTTGTTAGCTGGATATCAAAAATCTTTATAAGATTGTTTCCAAAATAGATCTCTGGGTAAACTAATCTGACATAGCTTTTCTTCACGTGTGTTATCCTGCTAAGTGTAAAATATATATCAGAATTGTCTGTAACTATACAAGTTATCGCAGTATATTAATGACCTTGATTTCTCTATAACATTCTTCTCACCTTATTGTGTAGCACAACATTATATCATGTAATCTTCACCCCTAGAATGTCAGAAATTGCATAAATAATTGTCTCCAACTTGGCAGTTCCTGGGAATTGAACTATAAGTTTACTATAAGTTGTTTCTGTTTACCATATTTTTGTGAAATACATAAATTACCTTACAAAAAATGATCAAGAGGAGCTACATATTCAAAGAGTTTAGGGTGAAGGAGCTTTTTCAGCTGTTGTGACAAAAGACTCACACCAACTGTGAGTTAAAAATCTACCGAGATATAAAAAACCAGAATGCTAGGGAATAAATTTCTGATCCAGCTCTTTATGTCATATGCTAACGTATAAAACGTATAGAAAGTAAACCGACTGAAAAATTTTGAAACGTACACTTTTCCCTCCTACTGTTTAATGCAGAAAACCAAGCCACTGTACAACATCGTTCTGTAGTAGTCTTCTTTCTTAGATACATAGGACTAGATCAGTGTTTCTCAACCTTGACAATTTTAAGGCATGTGGATTTCAACTCCCAGAATTCCACAGCCAGCAATGCTGGCTGTGGAATTCTGGGAGTTGAAGTCCACATGCCTTAAAATTGTCAAGGTTGAGAAACACTGGACTAGATCTTTAATCATCTCCAACGAGCAAGGCCATTGAGGTTGATGAGAAGGATAATGCAGCATGACTAGAGGATAGGTTACAGACCCCTGGCATAGAGCAGGCTTGTTGCATACCAAAAGGAAGCACCTGATCTTGGATTCATTCATAAGAAGGACTGGGTGTTTTAAATGATGGCTACTTGCAGTTTGTACATTTGTTTTTGTTCTTTCTTGAGCCTGCTGACCAACTCCCCTTTTTATGGGGAGAAGTGGAGTATAGTGATTTAGATAGATGATTAAACAACATTTTGGAAATAAGTGGTAGGCAATTTATTAATAAGTTATCCTCCTATTGGGCTTGAAGCTCTTTATCTACTTCTGTGCCCTAAAACTTCATAATCCCTCTCTCTCTCACACACACAAAATGATTAGGAATTTAAGTGAAATTAAGGGAAATGATCTTCTACATGTAAGAATATAGTCATGTTTAGAGCAGATATTGAAATCAGGAATTTTACGTCATTGTTCTCTCTTCTGCAGTGGTCAGACCCTACTTGCAATATTTCACCCTGTTGAGGGCACCAAATGGTCAACTGGACTGTGTCCAGAGGAGATCAACCAAAATGAATGGGAAGGTGCCTCTTTCTGATTTACTCCCACCTTGCATAGAAACTATAGAGGAGATTGTTGCCTCTTGATGGCCTACTATATGCCCTGAAAGTTTCTAGCTTTAATGAAATAGCAATTTGTAAGTGGATTATTCAAGTAGAATACCCAGAATGAAGTACAATATCTACAAACATTTGGATAATACAGAAAGGGAAGTTCTGTTGGAAGGGCCTAATTCATCCCGATGCTTTTTCTGGGCTTTTTGCTCAAGCCAGAAAAATCTTCCAGTCCATCCTCCTAAATGATTTGCTGATGCAGCTTCCCAATGCCTGCCCATCAATTCTTACTCCTATTATGGTAAGGACTTTTTTTCCCCCAAAGCATTCTAAAAATTCTTCTTTTTGATAGTCTCCTACTGTTAATAAAACACTATCACTTCTAATTCTTTTCCCCCTCTTTTGGAAAACATGAGAACATGAGAAAATCTTTCATGCTATATTGATTCTGGGAGCAAAGTATAGTACATGTGATATTTTAACAAATGCCAACTCCTTATAGTAATCTTATTTGCTAGTGATAACCCTGCAGTAGTTTTAAATTGATAGTTAAATATCTCTCTGTGGAACTGTACTACTGTTTCATTGAGCTCAGTGAACCTAATTTGATTTATTTGTACGACACAGTGGAAGCAATTTGACAGTGTATCTAAAACTGTAAAATATCCTGCACTTCTCTTTAAAAAAAAAAAAAATCAGTCCTGTGAGGATTTTTAACATTTCCAGAATAGATTACATTAATGTAAGTCCAGAAAAGCAGAATTGTCTAATAATTTAACTTTCATCTGAGGAAATTTACTTCACTGCAGAACATAAAATTAAATATCTTATAAGTATGCTTTCATCTATCTGAATTTATGCTGAAACTCTGAGTCCTCATTGTGATTCATAATCATCTCAACTATGCAAGCTAGAGAAACACCAAACACTGACAGGATCATATATTCACTTTCCCCTATACTATTAAACACATATGTAAATTAAAAAAACAATGTCTCGTGCCCTTAGGGCAGGGGTGTCAAACTCGATTTCATTGAGGGCCGCATAAGGGTTGTGGTTGACCTTGGGGGGGCGGGGTGGGTGTGGCCAGCTCAACGTCGCTCATGTTGGGAGTACCTGTGGCAGCCTGGGTGGGCCTGGGAGTGATCCATTGTCTCCAGCCGAAGAAGGCGAGACCAGGGCGAGCACTATACCCTTGTCCACCAGAGGAGCCTTGCAGAGGACCCCCAGTGATGCAGGCTGCCTGGAGCCCTGGGCAGTGGAGGGCAAGCACCCAGTCCAGCCTTTCCCAAGGGAGAGCCCAGCCTCCTCAAGGCTGCTGCTGATTGGCTCGCTCTCCTTGGCCAAGATGCTCATGGTGTGTGCAGGAGGACAAAATGTGTGGATCAGAGGGAGGCCCACTCCCTCTCCTTGCGAGGAGACCCAGCTTTATAACCAAAGCATCCTCAATGATAGGATGGGAGACCACCAGGAGAGGAGGAGGGGACAAGGGGATGGCGAAAGGGCAGCAGGGCTGTTCGTGGCCAAGTGCTAAGGCAGGACTTCCCTCAGACCCTTCCTCCCTCTCATTATAATCTTCCTTCCTTCCTTCCTTCCTTCCTTCCTTCCTTCCTTCCTTCCTTCCTTCCTTCCTTCCTTCTTTCCTTCCTCCCTTTTCTTCTTTTTCCTTTCCTTTTCATTCTCTTTTCCTTCTTCTTCCTTCCCTTCTTTCCTTCTTTTTGTTTGTCTTTCCTCTTTCCCTTTCTCTTTTCCTGTCCCTTCTTCGATGCTCAAATGCAAAAGGGGAAAAATTTCTCGATGCCTCCTCGCCTTGTGATCAAATGCCACTTTTGCTAGTAGTCTGTGGCCACTTAAAAGACTGAGAACAAACCAGGCTCAGTTTATCCCATGCTTGCATTTAGTGGGGGTGTCCACAGACAACAGGACAGCAAAACTGTCAAAATGGTGGCTGTGATAGTTGATCCGAGCTCCTCTGTTTTTTATGTGCAACAGTTTTAGCATTTCAGAACAGAGGTAAGTTAGTTGCTT